TGAACAGCTGTGTTTCACATGCAGGTAGACAGTGCTGATTTACAAAATGAGAGCGTTGGCACATAAAAAGCGGCAGCAGCCATAATCATTAAACGGCTAGTTCTCCGTATAATGTTTCAATGCGATGTGTGTGCCGAGTGCTCTGCGCACCCGAGTTTAGCGGGTTTTCCAGCCAACACGGCGTATTCGCGTGAATTCGCATGGATTAATCATGTACACATCCGCACAGTTGCCGTGTTATATTACTAACATGTTCCCCGTTGTTTCGACGGCTGTGTCAGCCGAGGAGAGGTGTTTAAGCATGTGATGGCAGCTGGGGAAGCGTAGTCATACAGGTGAGTTGAGCAGCTGTCGTTATCGACGCTGTGTGGCTCAAGCTTTTTCACGTTCGGGAGTCTGACTCACCCGAGCGTCGCGGGCAAAACGAGCGCACGTTCCTACGCTGAGTCCTTCTGGATATCTTGCTGGAGGAGAGAGGCGAGAGGATAGAATACAGAGGAAAAAGAAAGAGAGAAAGAGAGATCAAGGGAGGAAAAACCACCCCGACCCCGATCATCTGCGTTTGCTACAGGCCCCTGGCGTTTACTGAACAGCCCTGCCCTGTTCGGTTCCTTCCCTGGGTGCGTCTACTAAAAAGCTTCCTTCCCTTGCCGGGGTGCTTTAGTTATGAGGGTGGACCCTCTGTTCTCTAAGAAAGAGAGAGAGAGAGAGAAGGAGAGAGAAATGGAGAGAGAGAGAGGGAGAGAGAGAGAGAGGGGGAGAGCGAGAGAGAGAGAGAGAGTGAGGGAGAGGGGAGAGAGAGAGAGGGAGAGGAGAGCGGAAGAGAGAGATAGGACGGAGGGAAAGAGAGAGAGAAGGAGAGAGAGAGGGACAGAGAAAGAGAGGGAGAGAGGGAGAGAGAAAGGGAGAGAGGGAGAGAGAGGGAGAGGGAGGGAGAGAGGGAGGGGGAGGGAGAGAGAGAGGGAGAGAGAGAGGGAGAGAGAGGGACGGGGAGGGAGAGAGAGAGAGGGAGAGAGAGAGAGGGAGAGAGAGAGGGGAGAGAGAGAGGGGAGCGGGCTCTGCCCTGCCGCGCTCGTGGCCGAGGGCGGGGCGGTTCCTGGCCCTGGCGGTGCTGCACGGGCGGCCCCTGCCGGTGACGCTGGGCGGCGCGCTGCGCCGGCACCTGCTGCGGGAGCGGGTGGCCCCGGAGGACGTGCGCGAGCTGGACCCCGACTTCTTCCGCCACCGCGTCCTCGAGGCCCTCCTCCTCCTCCTCCTCCTCCTCACTCCCCTCCTCCTCCTCCTCCTCCCCCTCTCCCACATACACATACCTCCATCCTCCTCCTCCTCCTCCTCCTCCTCCTCCTCCTCTCTCTCTCTCTCTCTTCTCATCTTCTTGGCCTCGTTACTGTTCTTCTGGACTTCTTGTCCTGCTTCTCTTGTCCTTCGAGGATGTTGCCTTTCGTGTCTGGTCATGTTCCTGTTGTTCTTCTTGCCTTGTCTTCTGTCCTTCTTATCCTTCTGATTGTTCTGTTCTTCTGGTCTTACTTGTTTGCTTCTTCGTCCTCTTCGAGTGTCGCCAGGGGGTCGGGAACGGAGGTCGAGGGTCGAGGTTTTCCCAGAAAGGACATCGGCCCAGGGTTTTCTTTTAGTATTGTTAACCCCCCGGGGGACGCCGGCGGATCTCCGTTCGATGAAAAACGAGGTAGAGCCCAATTCCCGTTCGATGAAAAACGAGGTAGAGCCCAATTCGGCGTGGAGAAAATGCGTTTCGCGCGCGCCCGCGCGAGGAAAGTGCGACCCTCATTTCGGATCCTCGATAGATAACGGGTCTGCAGAGCCCCGACCTGGACACAACAAATGTGAAAATGTTGACGTTTTCCGTGCCCGCTCGAGGATGGCGCGTCCCGTGCGCAGAAATTGTGGGGACCTCTCGAGCGAAACGCTCGTTTTGCAAAATTTGACGGGCCTGGGTGCTCCAGGATGCCTGGATCGCAAACCCATTGTAATTTACGAGGGATCGCGGCTCCGGGAACGCAGACGCCACGCAATTTACGAGGGCTCGGGGCCCTGGGAGCGCGGATCCGGTGTAATTTACCAGGAATCGTGGCCCTGGGAGTGCGGGGGCTGTGTAATTTGCGAGAGGGTGCCGGCTCTGGAGCGCAAGTCCATTGTGATTTATAAGGGATCGCGGTTTGGGGAGCGCACATCCGGAGTAAATTCAGAGGGATTGCGGCCTTGGGAGCGCGGGCACCAGGTAATTCACGAGGGATCGTGGCCCTGGGAGCGCGGATGCCGTGTGATTCCGAATTTGATGAGGACGTCTCGAGCGAATCTGTTGTTTTGTGTTTTAGATGGTTCTATATATATATATATGTACATGTAAATGTATGTATACACATATATATATATATATATTGTTCCGTAGCGCGTCCCCTTGGCACGTCCCGCGGTGCGTCCCCATGGCACGTCCCCTGGCACGCCGTTTGGCGTGTCCCTTGGGACGTTCCGCGGCGCGTCCTCCTGGGATGTTCCCCTGTCAGTTAGCTCTGGGGCAGCGACTATGTGCTCAGGCAGCTCGAGCTTAAGATCCAGATCAGTGCGGTCAGGACTCGGATGCCAAGGAGGACTCGATCCACAACATTACATATTACAATCGCGGCATGGCACATCGCAATGCAGCACGGCGCAGCACAGCCTATCACTCGACACCTGTTCATCCAGATCGATACATTCAGCATTGCAACCTGGCACGTTCCGTGGCGCGTCCCGTGGCGAGTCCCCTTGGCACGTCGCGCGGCGTGTCCCTTGGCACATCCCGTGGTACGTCCATTGGCACGTTCCGTAGCGCGTCCCCATGGCACGTCCCGCGGTGCGTCCCCGTGGCATGTCCCTTGGCACGTCGCCTGGCGCGTCCCTTGGGACGTTCCGCGGCGCGTCCTCCTGGCATGTCCCCCTGTCAATGAGCTCTGGGGCAGCTACTATGTGCTCAGGCAGCTCGAGCTTAAGATCCAGATCAGTGCGGTCAGGACTCGGATGCCAAGGAGGACTCGATCCACAACGCTATGGAGCACAATCGCGGCATGGCACATCGCAATTCAGCACGGCGCAGAACAGCACAGCTCTCGGCACGGTACATCAAGATCGATACACTCAGCAATGCACTTGCCCGTCGCCCGATCAGGTCTCTTTAAAAACGTTGCCATGCGTTACATTTCGGAAGAGGAGGAGGAGGAGGAGGAGGAGGAGGAAGAGGGAAGAGGAGGAGGAGGAGGAGGAGGAGGAAGAGGAGGAGGAGGAAGAGGAGGAGAAGGAGGAGGAGGATTCCTTCCTGGGTTCGTGGGTCGATCCTGTTGAGCATGCTCTCCAGCAGCCCTGCCCTGCCGCGAGCGTTCCAGGGGCTGCCCAAACATCGCCCCGAGCGGTCGCCAGAGAGCCGAGCTCTGACCCCAAAGCCAAGGGGCACCGCGGCGCACACATCGATTGTCGGAGGTCCGTGCCGATCTCTTCTGTTGGCGCCGGCTGCGCGCCCCAGGGACAGGGCTCATTTCGATTGCCCCGATTCGATTCGATTCGATTTCGATGGATTCCGATTCCGATTCGATTCGACTTTGGATTCCGATTTGGGTTCCGATTTCTCACTGGATGCGTACAAGCCTGCCGATTTCAGCCGATTCGATTCCTTCCGACTTGGCTGCCGATTTCCGCCGATCCGATTCGTTTCGATCGCCGATTCGACTTATCGATTCGATTCTGGGCTCTCCTGCAGGGAGGATGCTCCCGCGCACTCGAGAGGTCGACAAGGAGCCTCCGGAAGTCCGTGTGTGCGCCCCGTGCCTCGTTCCCCCCCCATCTTGGCATCGCTCGGACGCGTGCATTTTTCCTTCGGCGAGGACCATCGAGGAGCATCCTTGATTGTTCAGCGAAAAAAAAACCACGCACGAAACCGAACAAAAGCACAGGGAATGGACGTCCGAGCGATGGCGAGCCATTCTTGATTCGAGGGAGGGAAAGCCACCCCCGACCCTGATAATTGGCGTTTGCTGAACGGCCCTGGGCGTCTACGGTCGGGGCCCTGAGGAAGGAGCCCTCTTGGTTGGGGGGAGGGGCTCGGTGTTCCTTGATTGTTCCACACCCTGCCCAATGTTTTCCTGCAGTTTTTGGTTGCAAGTAATATCCCCGCGGCGGCACGCACCGGGCACCCTCCTCCTCCTCCTCCTCCTCCTCCTCCTCCTCCTCCTTCTTCTTCTTCCTCCTCCTCCTCCTCCTCCTCCTCCTCCTCCGCCTCCTCCTCCTCCTCCTCCTCCTCCTCCTCCCCCTGCAAGTCGAGGGTTCACTGCTGACAAAAATGGGCCTCGTTCCCTGTTTGGGGTCCCAGCGCCCTGACCGTGCTGCACAGCCCTGCCCTGCTCGATCCCTTTCCCGGGGGCCTGCGCCTGCCGGGTGGCTCTCCGCCCTGTCGGGGGTGCCTCTCGTGCGGGCGTTGCTCTGTTTGCTCCCCTCCTGGCGCTCGCTGCGCTGCTGCCCTCTCCCCAGACCTCGGGCGTCTCGAAAAAATCGAGACAAAGGTTTTTCGTCGTTTTCGGCCCCTGGAGGCCCTCGCCGGGCCTCGGGACCGTCAAAAAACGACTCGGGATGAAAAACCGGTCCCGGATGGCTCTCCGCCCGTCGGGGGTGCTTCTCGTGCGGGCGTTGTTCGGGGGCGGACAGAACCCCCAACAGTGACACGTCGATTAGTGGATTGTCCGTTTTCGGTTCTCGAGAGGGCGCCGTGGCCGTCACTTTCCAGGCCTGCGCCCGCCGGGTTTGGGCCTCAGGCCGTCTTCACGAAACCACGTTTTGCCAAAGGGAGGTCTGTCCCTCCCCGAGCTGTTTTGTTTGCTCCCCTCCTGGCGCTCGCTGCGCTGCTGCCCTCTCCTCCTCCTCCTCCTCCTCCTCCTCCTCCTCCTCCTCCTCCTCCTCCCTCCTCCCTCCTCCCTCCTCCTCCTCCTCCTCCTCCTCCTCCTCCCTCCTCCTCCTCCTCCTCCTCCCCAGATTGGCAGGTCGATAAGGGTACTCCAGATTTCGTAACAAAAGGGAAGGGGGTCGTGGACCCTCCAAGACAGGCCATTTCAGACCTCCCCCGTGGGAGAGCCCTCCAAAACATCGTCCCCAGACCCCCCAGGCCCGCCAGGATAGCCTGGAAGAGACCCCCCCCGAAATGAGACCCCCCTCCCTTTATTACGACATCTGGAGTACACGTGTGTCCTGTGCCTCGCGACACGTGCCTTTTGTCCCTCCTGCTTGGCATCGCTCGGACGTGTGCAGTTTCCCTTCGGCGAGGACCATCGAGGAGCATCCTTGATCATTTGGCGAAAAAACACGCACGAAACCGAAAAACAAAAACAGGGAATGGACGTCCGAGCGATGGCGAGTCCTATGGCGATGTGGCCCTCGGAAGGGTCTTGTGTCCTCTCGCGTGTCCTGCCCAATCAAGGCCGACCGTGCCGAAGAAAGGGGCGACTGCATCAACATGAACGATCCGAGGTCGGCACGGATCTCTTTGGCCAGCGCTGGCCCCCCTCCTCCCCGGCGCTCGGAGCGCATCTGGGCCGGCGCCAGAGGCGCCGCCAGCTTGGCATCGCTCGGACGTGTGCATTTCCCTTTCGGCGAGGACCATCGAGGAGCATCCTTGATCATTTGGCGAAAAAGCCACCCACGAAACCGAAACAAAAACAGGGAATGGACGTCCGAGCGATGGCGAGTCCTGTGGCGATGTGTCCCTCCTGCTTGGCATCGCTCGGACGTGTGCAGTTTCCCTTCGGCGAGGACCATCAAGGAGCATCCTTGATCATTTGGCGAAAAAACACGCACGAAATCGAAAAACAAAAACAGGGAATGGACGTCCGAGCGATGGCGAGTCCTATGGCGATGTGGCCCTCGGAAGGGTCTTGTGTCCTCTCGCGTGTCCTGCCCAATCAAGGCCGACCGTGCCGAAGAAAGGGGCGACTGCATCAACATGAACGATCCGAGGTCGGCACGGATCTCTTTGGCCAGCGCTGGCCCCCCTCCTCCCCGGCGCTCGGAGCGCATCTGGGCCGGCGCCAGAGGCGCCGCCAGCTTGGCATCGCTCGGACGTGTGCATTTCCCTTTCGGCGAGGACCATCGAGGAGCATCCTTGATCATTTGGCGAAAAAGCCACCCACGAAACCGAAACAAAAACAGGGAATGGACGTCCGAGCGATGGCGAGTCCTGTGGCGATGTGTCCCTCCTGCTTGGCATCGCTCGGACGTGTGCAGTTTCCCTTCGGCGAGGACCATCGAGGAGCATCCTTGATCATTTGGCGAAAAAACACGCACGAAACCGAAAAACAAAAACAGGGAATGGACGTCCGAGCGATGGCGAGTCCTATGGCGATGTGGCCCTCGGAAGGGTCTTGTGTCCTCTCGCGTGTCCTGCCCAATCAAGGCCGACCGTGCCGAAGAAAGGGGCGACTGCATCAACATGAACGATCCGAGGTCGGCACGGATCTCTTTGGCCAGCGCTGGCCCCCCTCCTCCCCGGCGCTCGGAGCGCATCTGGGCCGGCGCCAGAGGCGCCGCCAGCTTGGCATCGCTCGGACGTGTGCATTTCCCCTTCGGCGAGGACCATCGAGGAGCATCCTTGATCATTTGGCGGAAAAACCACCCACGAAACCGAAACAAAAACAGGGAATGGACGTCCGAGCGATGGCGAGTCCTATGGCATGGACGTCCGAGCGATGGCGAGTCCTATGGCGAGTCCTATGGCGAGCTTGGTATTTTCCCTTCGGCGAGGACCATCGAGGAGCATCCCTGATCATTTGGCGAAAAAACACGCACGAAACCGAACAAAAACACAGGGGACGGACGCCCGAGCGATGGCGAGTCCTATGGCCCCCCCGGGCGTCCCAGCGCCGGTCCAAGAGGTACGCGTGGAGCTCCGAGAGCTCATCCAGGAGGAACAAAAACACACACAGACACAATTAATCGTCGATTTCCCAGAAAAAGTGGGAAAATTTGGGAAGTGGTGGGGAAGACAAAAACCCAGAAAATATAGGAAAATGTGGGGAATCTTTTTATTTATGTGTATTTATTTGTGTGTCCCAGTTCCCCTTCACTCATGCCCATGCCGTTTTTTGTTTGCTCCTCTGCCGGCGAGGTGCTGCGCGACGGCGGGGTGTCCGCCCAGGCGCAGGCGCTCGGGGAGCGCCAAGCGCGCACCGGCGTGGTGCCCGGCCGGGCCAGTCCTGGGCCCAGGCTCGGTGCATGCTCCCCAGACCCCCGACGTCATGATTTTTTCATGACGCGACCCCCAGAGGTCCGGACCCATTCCCCGGGACCGGTTTGTCATCCTGAGTCGTTTTTTGGCGCTCCCGAGGCCCGGTGAGGGCCCCCCGAGGCCGAAAATGGCGAAAAACTCCCGTCGTGATTTTTTCATTACTCGAGGGGGTCTGGCTCCCTGGGCCCGGCAGGCGCACTCGCGCACTCGGACGTGCGGCGTCCCGGCCGTTCCAGCTCGAAGGCCTGCAGGGGTCCCGCCCCGTGCCCAGGGGCCGGCTGCTCATTCTCGGGCGGGTTTCACGGTCCCGGGACTCCCGTGCGGGCCCGGTCCTGTTTCTCCTCCTCCTGCTCCTCCTGCTCCTCCTCCTCCTCCTCTCGTCCAGGCATGCTCACTGATTTAAAAAGCTTGTGGTTTCCCTGCGAGGTTCGGGACTTCCAGTGTGTTTCCCGTGCGGCCTTGTATAGGCTGGCCTGTACCACTCCTGCCTTTTTCGAAATTCGGGACCTCCTGGAAGGTTTCAGCGA